TGTGGTGCACCATGGAAAACACGCAAATATTTCCTACAACAATGCTGATAATTTGGCAGCCAAAATACTACTCAGCAATAGCATTGTGGTCTCCAACAGGACTCACTTTCACCACTACTGTTCAACATTGCATTAATTCCACTGACAATAATCCCATGAAACACAAAACTGGGATACCAAATCTCAAGCCAGCATTGTAAGATAAATTATCATTTATACAGGGATGACTTAAAAATGTATGCAAAAAGCCCCACTGGACTTAAATCAATACTCAACACAGTTCAACTGTTCAGCAGTGACATCAAAATGAACTTTGGAGTTCAAAAATGTGCTATAATATCCATGCAGTGAGGAAAAATAGAAAAAATAGAAGGAACAGAACTGGAAAATGGAAGCATGGTGAAATCATTAACAAAGGATGACAGTTACAAATACCTAGGCATATTGGAAGCAGATAACATCTTGAATGGAAAAGTCAAAGAGTCAATGCAAAAGGACTACATCAGGAGGGTCCGCAAAATATTAAAGCTGAAGCTGGAAACATAATTAAAGCCATTAATACATAAGCAGTTTCAGTGATACACTACCCAGCTGGAATCATCAACTGGACTTTAGCTGAACTGGAAAACTTGGATAGAAAATGCAGATACTTTTGAATATGAACCACACTTTACATCCATGAGGTGTCATCGATAGGTTGTACCTGCCAAGAAGAATAGGGGGTAGAGAGCTATTGCAAATCCATCAAACTATAGAAGAAGAAAAATGAAGTTTGAATGGCTATGTGAATCAAAGTACAGAAAAATTGCTGCAAGCTGTGAAAATGGAGAACATTATAAAAACAACAGGAAAAAAGGCAGAATATAAGGAAAAACAGCTGGATGACAGATTAAATGGATGGAAAACCAAAGCTTTGCATGGACAGCACTTGAAAAACATTGAAGGAAAATGTGATAACAACTTGACATGGGCATGGCTTAAGATGGGAACCCTCAAGAAAGAAATTGAAGGTTTAATACTTGTTGCTTAAGAACAAGCACTACAAACTAATGCCATGAAAGTGAAGATACAAAAAACCACTGACAATCCAAATGGCTGACTTTGCAATGACAAAGTTGAAACTGTTTCACATTTAATATGTGAGTGTGGCAAAATCGCACAAACTGATTACAAAGCTGGACATGACCAAGTTGCTAAATTAATCCACTGGTCATTATGTAAAAAATATGCCTTACCTGTATCCAAAAAGTCATGGAACATAGTGTGGAAAAAGTTGTTGAAAATGAGAAGGTGAAGATCTTGTGGACTTTTGAATACAGACAGATTGTATTTGGAACACAACATGCCAGATATCACAATAGTCAAAACCAAGCGTACAATTCATTGATATTGCTGTTCCAGGAGACACCAGAGTCGAAGAAAAAGAACTGGGAAAAATCACAAAATATAACGACCTGGCCATTGAAACCATGCGATTATGGATGAAACATTGTCATCGGGGCACTTGGTACCATGTCCAAGAATTTTATAAATACATAAAAAGAATTATAGCTTCCTGCAATAACAGGAACGCAAAAAACTGCACTACTCAGAACATCGTACATCTTAAGAAAATACTTGGTTGATACCTAGGATGCTGGCAGCAACCGGTATCAAACATCAGAGCCAGTCAAATGATATTTGTGATACGTTTTTAAATGTTCAGTTGACTGAGTTTTATGTTTAATGAATAAAAGAGATAATAATCATAATATAATTTATAATAATTTAATTTCTTCATTTTCTATGACTTTTTCTATTTTATGGTCCCACCAGTTCTTGCTTACAGGCAAATGATTTGGTTTGCTGATCTTCCAATGCACCATTGTGGCATGACAAAGTAGCAACAATGGTGCCTTGGAAGATCTGCAAGAAATATCATTTGCCTGTAAGCAAGGACTGGTGGGACCATAAAATAGAAAAAGTCATAGAAAATGAAGAAATAACTTGCTCTGGGACTTCAGAATTCAAACAGACAGACAGACAACTGCCACATAACACTTCAGACTTAAAAGTTGTCAATAAGAAAGACAAAAATGTCTGGATAGTGGATGTGGCAGTGCCTGGAGACAGCAGAATAGAATAGAAAGAACTGGAGAAGATAACAAAATACAAAGACCTACAAATAGAAATAGAATGATTGTGGCAAAGGCAAGCAAGATTAGTACCAATAGTAATAGGCACTTTGTGTGCAATTCCAAAACAACTGGATTATAAAAAGGCAAAATCACCAAGCAGGTTGACTTATTATATAAAGTGAAAATATCTGGGCAATATCTAGAACCATGATGGTAGACTTTTGGGAATGAGGGAAGGGTTACCTAGTAGGACATATAAGAATTTTCTGTTGCTTCTTCACTTGCTCAGTACATTTAAAGGCACATTTTCTTGCTTAAAATAATGCTTACCAAGGGTCTTTTCAATGCACAAGTTAAAAAGTAAGGAATACAGCTCCGTCTTTCCAAACAGCAAATCTGCTCATATAATGTTCACACGCACATTTTAAACCCACATATGGTACACACATTCTAAACCCAATCAATGGTCCTCAGAAAATTCATTGGGGAAATTCAAAGTTTAATGGCTTAAATGGATAGTGTTAGAGCATGCCCTCTAATAACATTTCTACTAAAAACCCTTTCACCTACTTGAGCAATCTGACTTCTTGAACATGTCAAAAAGGTAGTACAAAAATCTGGAAGTAAATTGCTCTTGAAAGTAGACATTAATAACCATTAAGAGAATAGTTTGGCTTCAAAATCAGACTGCTACTTGCAAGTCAATGTGCTCTTACAATAAGTAGAATTAGCTCATCTAATCTTGTTTCCTGTCTGGTTTCCTTGGTGAGCTGACAGACTGATCTGAAAGTGGCTTTAGAAATGACAGGTTACAAGAATGATATGGAAAGAGATGCTACACTGTGCGTAAAAAATAAATGGCTGATGTCTTAATAATTAAAAGGGATACAAATTACTAACCAAGTGAGTTACTATTAGCCCTTCCAAGTAACCCAGACTGCAAATATAATTAATTCTGTCTTATTATAAGACTACATTAACAAAATGTTGCATTCTCTCTGAATGTTCAGCCATTGTGGACTTCTGCCTCTTTTCTCTGATTGTTTCCCAGGCAGCATTTCTTCCTCTTGTTCCCCAGAATCAACTGCACATTGTATTACAGTGACCTGGATGATATTCCTATCTTGAATTTACAAAAGAGGCTTGCTGAAGCTTTGAAGAAATTTGTGAGAAGGGACAAAAATGAATAGAAATCAGGTTCTAGTATATTAGTTGAAGGAAATAAAGATCAAGATTGTTAAATGTAAAAGGAAAGAAAAAGTTGGTTTATTGGATTAAGATTAAAAGAAATTAATGGTTATACCTGGTAACCGGGGTGAAATTCAACCCCTTCAGCCCACTTCGGGATATTTGAATTGGTAAAAAGTCGCCCCTGGTTGCTATTACTATTATACCAAGTATACCAAGCCATGCCCACAGAGCCGGTAGGGAAAAATGTTGAATTTCACCCCTGCTGGTAACCCTTAACTAACTTTTGCCAAGCAGGACTGAAATGACGAGGTTTTAAGGATTCATTTATAGATAAGAGTTGGGATATGGAAAGAAGAGATGTTTGTTGTATTTTAAGAGAAGGTGATAAATTACTAAAATTGTTTTGGAATGAAAGGGAGAGTATCTTTTTCTTTTCTTTTTCTTTACTATATTCTTTTTTGTCTTTTCTATTTACTTTTTCATTTCTGCACCTTCTATTTTTTCTTTTATTTTTTATCATTTATCATTTAATAAATATTACAAAGATATAATGTGGTTTCTTGGTCCTTAAAAG